GCTCAGGAACTCACTTAGACTATTGCAATGGCCTCCTAAGTGGTGTCCCTGGCTCGAATCTCTCTTTACTCCAATCTGTCCTCCTCAAAGTGATTTTCTTTACATGTGGGTCTGACCGAGTCACTGTTCTACTCAATAAACTCTAATAGCTCCCTATTACTACTAAGATAAAATAGAAATATCCCTGTTTAGCTTTTAAAGCATGTCACAATCTGGGAAGTAGAAATTCTCTTTCCATTGGGTATTCTCCTAAATCGATGTTTTGGTTATAATATTCTAGGACTAACTGCTATAATAAGCAGAATATAATCTACAATTATCTCTATAGGTGAATGAATCTGTTAATAAATATTCAAGGCAAACATTTTATTGCAGGAAAAATTACTTTTTAAATAATTAGCAAACAAGTATACCTAGATATTCTATATTCTAGTCTTTCCAGTAGATTTTGTGACCTAACATGTGGTCTGCAACTGAAATCATTTAAGAAAATCTGCCTATTTCCTCTCATATTTTCATCAAGGATACCCCTGATTAATGTGTAGATCATTTTCCTTTAAGTTTACTGGTAAATAAAAAGTAGATATATAATAAGAAGTTGATGTTGTCCCCTTAATTAATATGATCCAGAATTTTTGTCTCATTATTTGTTATCTTCTCTTCTTTCATATTCTTCTAAAATGATACTTCAATGCTATGAGAATTGTCTCAATTCCAGCCTGGATTTTTTTCCGTATATAATTGGTTTATTCTATCTGTTCTCTTCATCTTTTTTAGTTCAAATTCCACTGAGGTACTTAAAGTCTAAGAGGTTATACTGCAAACTTCAACAAAAATAGTTTGTTTTAGAAATGCTGCCAGATCTGTTCCATTTTATACCTGTTTACTATTCTTCCCAGTAGAAACTTGGGACACTACTCATAAAATCATTAGGCTCTGACAGATGGACACATATCTTGTCAGGGTTCATCCAGGTTTTCATCTCATTTTCCAAACATCTCCAGACCATGCTGCTATGCAAGCATATCTTCCCTCTTTCTAGGACCCTTTTACCTATTGCGTACCCTCATTAAAATGCAAGCTCTTTGAAGGGAAAGATTGTCTTGTTTATATTTTATCTATCCAAGTGCTTAGCACAATGTCTGGCACCAAATAAGCACTTAATAAATGCTTTATTTATCTATCTACCTCTCCTCATTTCAATTTCATCTATAAGTACTCTCTAAATGATCTGGATTAATTATGTCTTGAGCAAAGATTTCTTCAGATTCATTCTTCCATGCCTATCCCCCATCTACTCCTCACTATTTTGTGAAGTATTATTATCTGCAATTTTCCACCCTCCTCTTCCATGATGTTCTGCAGATGACTTTTTATTTTAAAACACTGGTGTCTTTTGGCTACCATGTTCTCTAGTTGGCAAGAATATCAAGTGTTTTCTCACTAAGGCAATTGTTTATAGCAATTAAACTTCTGTAGGAAATAGTCTGTGTTGGTGTTTTTCTTTTATCCATTAGCTTATTTGAGTAAGTTGGAGCTAGTGTAATTACAAAAAGTGTCTTCTTATCTTTAACCTTTCTTCTCATTTCATATTGATTTTAATCTTAGCTCTAACTAGTTAAATAGTCTGTCTGTACAAAGAGAGCTGCAGAGTAGCAAAAATGGGGGGAAAATCACTAAATCAGAACTCTGAAGACCTGGTTTTGAATTTGATTTTTGTCACTTTTATTACTATGATGATCTTTCAGGTCTCTGCAGCTGAGTTTCCTGATCTATAAAGTGTAGAAAATGAACTAGAGGCCACTGTGGTCTCTTGCAGCCCAAAACTAAGGTTCCTATGAAATAACTCCCACATCTCTAGCCAACACTTTCCTATATATTAAAATATGAGTTATTTTATTTGTGGGATAGTATTTGTGGCTCTTTGTCTAGATGCAGAGGTTCCCAAACTAGGTGATACCTGAAATAATTCGGGGGGGGGGGGTGGTATTAGCTGCGGGTGCAGCTGGGTGGTGTTGAATAAAAACAAGGTGGTGGTGGAAGCATAAAAAAAGAAGAGAAGAAAATTTTGAAAATCCATTCATATGTTTCATCTGTTGTGCAACATAGTTAAAGTCATAGTGATTACATTATTTCCCAAATGAACACACCAAAATGCAAGTTATAACCAATCAGTGGTCAAGTCTGCCAACAGGTCTTAACAAGTAAGTGCTGGCAGGCAAACACGTAGCACAGTCCAGCAGGCATCAGTAGTAATATGTGCATGTAATGACTTGTTTACAATACAATATTATATGATTATATGACACAATATTGCATCATCAAAATTTCAATGTGGGAAAAAACCCACAAATTTACAATAAATTATTAAATTTAAGATGCATCTTTTTAAAAAAATTTTATTTTTTTTGAAATGCCATAAATTTCAAAAATAAACCATTAAAGGGTTAAAGAAAATAGATTTTTAGGGGGGAGCTGAGTGATTTTTTTCTTTTTGAAAAGGGGGCAGTAGGCCAAATAAGTTGGGAACCTCTGGTCTAGAGCTTTTCCTCATTCTTCTTCTTCCTTCTTCTTCTTTTTTTTTTTTTTTTCTCCCGGCTAGGCAATGAGATTAAGTGACTTGCCCAGAGTCACACAGCTAATAAATGTTATGTGTCGGAGGCCGGATTTGAACTTAGGTCCTCCTGAATCCAGGGCCGGGTGCTCTATCCACTGCACAACCTAGCTACCCCTCCTCATTCTTCTTAAAGTATCAAAATAGAAAGGTGTAAGGCATTGGGGTAGTCTATAAGCATTTACTCTTTTTCATATATTAATTTCAAACATAGTGTTCCCTGACTATGCCTATGCCTAATTTTGGACTGACATCAATAAATATCAATATATATGGTAACTTGGTTTGCAGGGTCTTGCCAGGTTCCCAAAAGAATTTCTTTATGTTCTACAACATTGTGCATAAGATGTAATTACATTAATGACAGTCTTTTAGCTTAAGCTTCTCCTAAGCACTTAAAGGAAAAATGCCCAAGTATGTCATGAAATGATGTTTCTTACTGTCTTTAGGCAACATAAAAACATGATAAAACCAATTTCACCAACTCTTTTGTTTACCTCTCCAAGAAAGCAAATAATGTTATATATGACAGATAAAAAATGTGAGCTTCTCAAATAGAAAAATCATAAATAACTTACCCTAATGTATGTACCTCTCCCTTTAAAATGGCAGCACAGACCTATAACTGTCATATGTATATATGTGATAAGATGGTACTCTTGTTGAGAAAATGGGGGCAGAGCCTAGTATATGGAAAAAAGCACTAGTAACCTGAGAAAAGTTGTATGAACTGACACAGAACGAAGTGAGCAGAATTCAAAGAATAATTTATACAACATTAACAATATTGTACAGAAAAACAACTAAAAACCTTAAGAACTCTGATCAGTGCAATGATCAAACATAATTTCAGAGGACTTGTGATAAAACATAGTACTCACCTCCTGATAGTAAAGTGATGAACTCAACAAACAAAATGAGATACATAATTCTGGGTATCATCAATGTGGGGATTTATTTTGCTTGAATTTACATATTAATTACAAAAGTGTGTTTTTATTTTTCTGATTTGGCTGGGAGTGGGAGAGAGGGCATAGGGAAGGAAAGACAGGTGCTAGTTAATAGGGTTGCAAAACTAAAAAGAAGAAAAGAACAGAGGCTCACTGAAACCTCTGAAAAAAAGCTTATTCAAGAAATGAAGAGAACAGAAAGAAAGTAAGAAACAGACAAAGCAGAATGGCTTTGAAAACAGCCTGATGAATTTGTTGTATTCTTTGAGGGAGAAGGAAGCTGTAAGCGCTGCAGATTCATAGCTACACTCTTTCTGCCTGCTCTGCATATAAAAATGCTCATTTTAATTAAGACGTGTTAGTTAAAAAGAAAAAACACTAGTAGTCATAGAATCTAGGTTCAAATCCTGACTTTGTCATTTAATACTTTTTAAGGCCTTAAACAAGTGACTTTAACACCCTGGTCTTAAGTTTATGCATTTTTTTAAATGAAGCTATTAATCTAGATGATTTCTGAGGTCACGTTACACTTTTAAATTCTATGACTCTACTGTATAATACAATGTGGAATGGACTGGTAGTCAGGGCACCTGGATTCAAATTTTCATTCTGCCATTAAGTAGCTGTGCAAAATCTCCCACACTATTTTCCTGGTATGTAAAATAAAAGACTCAGACTACATGACTTCTAAAGTCCTTCCAACTCTAAAATTTAAGAAGTTCCATTATTACTGCATATTCTGTCTATCCAAAAGGCACAAAATTTCCAGAATACATATAGTTTACTGATATATAAAGATTTCATTTTAAAACTTGAAATCACAGCAGGAACTCTTAAACATATGTAACAGAATGTAATGAAAGATTTAACGTGCATGAAATTATCAAAAATTGACAAAATTTTTTTTTTCAAATTAAATGACCTAACCATATTTCACAAAGAATTAGGGCAAAAACCCAGAAGGCACATATCCTCTTTTCCTAATAAGATAAAAATAAGAAGACACAAAAATCTGGCAACATGCCACATGACTTCTATAGGAATTACTCCAAGAAACATTAAACCCTTTACTTTAAAAAAAAAAAAATACACAACATTCATGAGGTATTTAAAAAAAAAAGGAAAGAGTTATTATTTTTGACAATGGAATGGAACATTAATTTTCATGTATCAAAATTATAACTGTACATATGAGAGCTAATACCAAATGACTATAAAAATGCATTTCTAATTATCTGTGGAAGGAAATGAATCAAAATACCAAGAACATCAGAAAACTCTAACACATGTCATTACAGATTAAGCCATTCCCCAAACCAAACCCAAAGGTAAATCTAAGGTAACCGAGGACAGCCGGTCAAGGACCAGGTGGTTGTGAAGAGGCCTTTGTTTCTGTTGTTTGAGGAAAGGCAAACATTAAGAAAAGTAACTAGTACCTTTGCCACTGGAGCTCTCCATTGTGTACAAGTAATCCATGTAGAAAGCTCCAAACCTCTGCATTCCTGCTATCTCAGTATATGTCTCCTGCCAACAAAGCAAAGCAAACAGAACAAAAGTTGAATAAGAAGAGAATCTTGAGATTACAAGAATCAGACACATATCCTTACTTGAGCTGTGTATCAACTTAAAAGATTATCACAACAAAAGAACAGAGGTTATCCAAAGAATTCACTTCTAAGGTAGGTATTGTAATTCCGATTATAAGCCCCACAAAGAGACATCTATAATTTTACAGGGCATGTTGACCACTTTATCAATAATGTCTAGTTAATGAATACCTTTAATGGAGAACATATTTCTTTCCTGACCTTTCTCAGCTACACTATGCTGTCTAATAACGAATACTCCCAAAGAAAGCTAGTTAGTTCTTAAACATTTCAATGCCTGCTTTATGAAAAAGTTTTAAGCTCAAAGAAAAAAAAATAAAATTATATTTAGTGCTTTATGATTTACTAGTGCTTTGTATACAGTATATCATGTGAATCTCACAATAGCCTTGGAAGTTAGGCAAAGCAAGTATTATTATCACTTCACCTATAGGAAAACTGATAACTTGGCTAAAATAGATTTTTGACCCATAATTATCAGGCTTGTGAGGTTTTCTACTTGGTGACAAACTACAACCTAAGTTAACAACAAAGCTCTAAGCAAATCAAAGAGAAAAATGTAATGCCTGGGATTTCATTTATCTCAATTTATATTACTTTAGTCTATAATATATAGTCAATTTCAAAAAGTCTTCCAAACCAAATATCAGAAAAAAAACAAATGTGTGTATATATATGTACATGTACGTATGTATGCATTCTTTTTATTTCCATTCTATATTTTATTGCAAATTTTGTTAGCTAAATTTGCTTTCTCATTTTTAAAATTTGTTTTTATCCAAACACATGCTGGTTAACATGGACAGGTTTCTTCTAAGTATTCAGCTATTTAAATTTAAGCAGAATACATTATCGGCTAAATGACAACTTTATCAATCAATGAAAAATAAATCTACTGTTATTCAGTCACTACACAATATAACATTCAATAAACACTAGTTAAAATCATTCTGACATAATCACATAATCCAATCAAAAACCAGGCATGCAATCCAAGAAATAAGTTTAAAGAAATAATCTTAAACTCCCTTTACTATCATCTCTACGAAGATACTCCAAAGTCTCCCCAGTCTCAATCTCTTTCTGATACTGTTGTTTTTTGTTCATTCTAGACTCAAATTTTTAAATGCCTTCTACACACTATTTGCACACTTCTCTGGCACTTTGAATTAAATAAGTCTAAAAATGAATTGCATCTCTTGCTCTAATGCAGTATCTCTTCTGGCTTCCTAATTTCTGTTAATGATGCCATTACCGTCCTAGGGGCTCAATACTTGAACCAATGTCTACCAAATAACCCCAAACTTTTAGCATGTCATTCAAGATCCTCCAATACATAGCCTGATGCTTTATTTCCATTATTTGCAGTAATCCCCTTCACAGGCCCAATGCTCAAATCATACTCGATATTCCCTGAACATTCTAGAGACTTTGTGAATACTCTTCTTTTAAACTAATACTTTCCCATTTACCTATGACTACTGAAATTTCACCCATCCTTGAAGGTCCAGCTTAAAGATCATCATCTTTTTGAAGTCTTTCCTCCCTATTCCTTGATGATCCTGCTTTATGAACTAATATTAAAATTTTTCTAGTATCTCTTTATAGTACTTCTTATATTCAATCTTCTTTAGTATTTTGTACATGTTATTTGGTGACATGCCTTATCACTCTATTGGATAAACCCTATAAGAAAAAAACCATTTCTTATTCATCAAATCAGATGGTGTAAGGTGTTTTGTAACCCTTAAAACTATATTAATGTTAAATATTAATATATTAGTCTCTCCTGCATCGCATAAAAGTACCTTTGCACCCAGCAGACTTTTTTTAAAGTGTTTTAAAATGAATATATTCCCCCATAGTAACACTCACAGAATTTTGCACATTGTAAAATTAGAGAAGTAATTTTTGACTGGTAAAAACTAGGTCTTTTTATATTCTGTGGGTCTCTGTACTGCTTAAAGGCTACTATCCCTTAATCTAACCAGATGATCACCTCCATTTCTGATGATAGAAACATTCAAAGATATCCCATAAGCCATTTTTTACTCACATGCCATCCTTATAAAACATAAAAAGATCTATAGGAAGGCCTCTAGTATGTTGGGTGGATCTCTGTGCATTACTTATGAGAGTAAATGGACAAGATCTCCACAGGATAAGGGGTTGTGGTCTGCATGGATGGAAACAATACCCACATGACTGAAATCACAGGTCCATTGCAACTCTAATTAAGAAAAGTTCTAGGATCAAGATCAACAAAGGAGGTGTCCTTCCCCAACACTACCAATGTAGGTGGCTCTATTTAACTTCACTAGATTGGATTACTTTATATAAATTAGAAAAATGGAAAGGACGGGGAAAAAAATAAAGCCTAGTAATAGGGGATATTGAAATAAATGGGATAGTGAAAGAACTTGGACCTGTAACTTCATTAAAATTGTGAACTCCCAGACAACAAAACTCCCTCTCCTAATAGACTGGCATCTTCTTTTAACATATACTTCTAAGAGTTGCTTAGAGTGCTGGGAAGTTAAATGACTTGCCCACAATCATAAAGCCAATAGGTTTAAGAGGATGACTTCAAGGCCAGTTCACTATCCAATATGCTATACTACCTGTCATTACCAAAAAAGTAAAAGAAATTCCATGATATTGTATTTATGAGATGAAAGGAACTTAAGCCAAACTCCTTTATTCATTAGATGAATAAACTGAGAATCTGAACAGTTGAGCAACTTGCTCAAGGTCACACTGTTAGGTACTAGCAGAGACTAGTACTTAAGTCTTCTAAATTCCAATCCAGTGCTCTTTCCACCACATCCTGCTGAATCAACTGACAGCATTTAATTTATGTCAGCCAATAAAGATCCCTCAAAAACGTATCACTACTAAACACAGCAAAAACTATTTGAGGAGATAAACGCTGAGCATGAATACATAAACATTAAGAAAACTATTATAATATATTTCCATGCTGTACGAACAAAACAAGGCACTCATAAAATAGCCTTTTTCAAAAAAACTGTTGGGGGAAGTAATAGAGCAAAAACTTTCTGCTGTATGTTAATATAAATAAGGAGTACTCGACAAATGACAGTTGACAGCAATCAAGTATTCTCAATGTGTGCCAAACACACGGACTAGAATCTGGCTCAGCAGTTTGTTCTCTGACCTTATGGTAAGCTGCATTCAAAATAAATTCTGCACGAATACCATTGTTTTCTGGACTTCGGTAATCAAACAGCGAATTTGTAAGATATGTCAAACCTTTGGTACTCAGATTTTCACCACAAACGAAGAAACACGCTTCCTTAAAATGGAAAAAATATGAGGGGAAAGAAGGAAAATCATTATTAGGAAATGACAGCAAGTAAGAGTTTTGCTTTTATCATAGACACAAATACATAATATATATACTATAGAGATTACAGTACATTGACTATTGAAAAATAGAATGTTGATACAACAAAATTGAACAGCAATATATTATCCAAATTGATTTTTCATGAGGCTGCCATTACACAAAATTCCTAGTGAATTTCAACAGAAACATAAACTGCTATCTTGGAAAATATCTGGAGTTATCATCAAAGTACTCAGTTTTATTCAGTTTGGTTTTTTTTTGACATATCAGTAAGTTTCCAACAAGCAATCTCTGCATAGTACCTTCCTATAAAAAAAGTTAATCAGAACCACCTAAAAGTACATGTCACTTCCTATTTTTGTAGTTTATCATTTGTTTTGTTCACTTTTTAAGTGCCTTTGAGCACTAATATTTCTCCCCTACAACTATGAAAAGACTTTTTAAAAAAAGTAAATCCCTACAATCAATTTGCAAACAATTACATGTGAGGTTACTATATTTTGCATAATAAATAATACATCACATCTTTCTTAGCATCTTATCTTACAAAATGTTTACTTACAGCATCATATCTATTCATATTCTCTTCAAAATCTTTAACACCCATAATTCCTTTAAGGCACATGGCTCGACAACCTACGAAACCAATTTGGCAGTCAAAGAAAGGATCCCCCATCATCAGAGCCTATGAAAAGAAAAATTAGTACAATAAACACAAGAACTTGAAATAAAGATCAAGTGTCACAAGACTCTCATTAAGCCTTTTAGACTGTCTAACAATCTGTGGCATCATGGTTTTTTCTACTCTAATGTTATACAACACAGAAAGCCCTTTAAAAAGGAAGTATTTCAGTGATCTCTTTTGTCTAATAAAAGAGGAATGCTAAACCAATGACATAAACGGCATTTTAAAATATGCAACTGGTGAAAAATATTTATTGCACATCAATTTTCCAGAACTATTACTATAAAATTAAATATATACATTTACGATGGAAAATTACCTCAACTGTGGTTCCTTCTTGCTCCCAGCATATTACTTCTTTTGATTTTACCTTCTGAGGGCTATAATAACTACTCTCAGCTTGCATTTCAGTGAGCTATGAAACAATATGATAAACAAATTAAATAAGCCAAAATTAGCACTAAAGAGCAGAAATCTGTCATTACTAAATTGATGAAGACAAATTAAACTTTATTATTGGTCAAAACGTATTATGGTGCAGGAAACAGGTGCAATAAAAACAGCTGTAACATATTATCCACATTAGAACGTAAGACCCTGTTGTTGCATATGCCAATTTAACTTCATGTATGGCACATGACTTGACCACCACAGTATTTTTATTTAGTTTCCTGTTAAAATAACATTGCTTTAAAAGGTGCAACAGTCGTGCAGCTGCAACAGAAATGTTAATAGCAAATGAACATCTATAATGAGCTTTAAAATCTCCAAAATACTACATCAATTCACATAGTTACAACCTAAATTGGGCTTAGTTCTGTTTAATCATTACCAAAATTTCTTCCTGTTATTTTCAAAAGAAAAAGTATTCATTGCCTTCTGCATGTGTTCAAGTAACCTTTGTCCTTGAAATCAGAATATTCTTCAAACTTTAATACATTCAAATGAATGATCATATCCAAATAAAACAAAAACATAGTAATACTCATATACCCTTTTAAACTCCATGGAAGAGTTCAATTTTAGGCATGATCTTTTTAGTTTGGGAATTCTACTACTTACTCTATCTTGTACCAAATCATTACTTCTTATGTAAATTGCTTTTAAAATCACAAGTTCTTATTCTTTGGCTGTTTCCAACAGTGAAGTACACATGGTTGCTGTTTTAAAGCAAAATTTTTTAAGCCAAATACTGAAGTAAAAATTGATTTTCTTAAACCTGATTGCTCTTCAGCTGTCTGCAATTATTGTAAAGGAAAAGCAATTAATTGATTAAAAGAATTCAAACATTACAAGAACAATTTTCAACATTATTAGAAAAACGCTACATTTAATTTGGCATGATTTTTTTGCTGGGATGGTATCAACTTGTTCAGAATACTAATGCAGAAACATGACCTTACTTTTTTTTTTTTTTTTACCAAAATATGAACCACAAATTAATTCCATACATTTTTAGCATGCAAGCCAAACAATGAATTCTAATGTTTTCCCCTCAACTATCCGAATATTTCCCTTATACTTTATAGACATATGTATTGCCCATGTAAATGTCCATCCTGACTCAATTACACACTATTATTTTCATCAGTAAAACTAACAGAAGCATTAGCATAAGGCTTCATTATTTTCATGTTTAAAACTATATGGTCACCAAAATGATCTGAAACATGATACTTCCTTTACCAATCTAACTTTAATTTTCTTCATAAACTTGGGTTAATAGTACAAATGATTGGTTCATATTATATTTTGTTCACATAAAAATAGCAACATCACAGCAAAAAATGTCTACCAACAAGTTCTTATTCTATTTGAAATAATATAAGGAAAGGAATATTTTAACCTCTTAATCACTTTAAAAATTACCTGTTACTTTAATTTTGCTAAATTCAACCATTCAATTTCAATTATGACAATAATTCATTTTAACAGTATACAAAAATTCCATAGCAAATTAAGTTTTCAGTATTCTCCATGAAATTTAAAAGCAGACATATCAAGGAAAATATTTACCAAATGATATAACCTTTGTTGAATTTTGTCAAAAATCATTTTGTACAGGATCTACTAATTCAGCAAAGTACAACGATCCTAACCAAACTAGAAAAATCATTAAATTATGTCAACATGAAAAATCTCTTTTATCCTGGGTGCTTTGAAATAACAGCTCTGTTTGGATTCATTACTATGTCAATCAAATAAATGAATTCCAGGAATTGCCAAGCCACTCTATCAGTAAAAACTAATTCCACAGACACTCTTTAGTATAAAGAAATTTATCTTACCATGGATAAGTAAAAATCCATAAGCACCCTCTCTGCATAATGGAATCCTTTACTCATACTATTTTAGGACAACTAAATTCACACCCATCATACAAACCATTATATCCTGCAATGTAATCATTACATGGGGGAATGAGGGGAGAGAGGAAAGTGGGAGAGAATGATTTTACTTGTAATGAATCCAAATCCATGCAATACCAACCCATTTCATAACTAAATTATATTGTAATTTACTTAATAGTCACAACTTTAATCATGATAAGAAAGTAATTTTTAAATCATTTGACTATACACCAAGCATCAATAAAAGCAATCATAATTCTATTATAGTGTAGCACTGATTCCCCTCCAGAAGCAAGAAGCACTGAATTTATTTTCTTTGTGTTTTGTCTTATAAAAGAGCACATACTGATTATTTTAAACAACTAAACTTTATATATTGTAGAAGAAAACTTACCTTGAAAGTCACTGTGGCCTTTGTACAATAAAATCCTATAGAAACAATTGGATCCTTTAAAGCCTGAGACTTCTGCTCATGTAGGGCTGATATTGTATCATTTCCAAGATAGTCATCCTCTCCATCGTCATAACTCACAATGGCAGGAACAAATGACCAAGCCCAGGATACCCATCCCTGGGACTGTTCATCATCTTGTTGTGCATAAAATTCTTGAGCTTTATATTGGGTAGGATATTGTATATCTATGCCAGTTTCACCTTCACCACCTAACAACACAAAATGCAAATAAGCAATGCTATTAGGTTTTGCTGGGGAAAAGCAGCCAAGAAGAAAAAGATCCACTTACCAGATTCTCCCCTTCCTATTTCTGACACTTGGAAATCACATCTATGTTTCTGTATTTGTAAGTATCCACAAACAAATAGATGAATATTCACAAATAAGCAGATAATAACAGAGTACATATCTTTAAAGTTGCTCTCCCAAAAAGACAAGTTTACAGAAAAGTTTGTGTCATACTAACTTTGTGTTTCCCTACTGCCCACCTTACCCACTCAATGCCTGACGCAACACATTGAGCACGCAACAGATAAAAGTCTCGATTGTTAGTTGATGGAAATGTGCATCTATATGAATTCCTTCTTCAACAGAAATGGACACATAAAAGTCTCTCAGGCTAATTTTGAAACAAACTGTTTTACAACAAATGATCAAATAACTGGAAGTATGTTTTCATGTGGTAACGGTAGAAATGACCTTGAACAACAGTCAGGCTGTAAGCCCTGCCACTTGAGACAGGAAAGCAGGCAATCCTCAAAAGCAAAAGTCTACCCTAAAAATAATTTATTAAACACTTATATAACAAAGTGCATTTTATTTACCAGCTAACCTATAATAATGGTGTTACCTGATCTTTGCCACAAACAAATACAACACACCAATATGACTGTTGCTGACATATGAAGAGCCTAAAAAGCACAAAGATTTTCTTGGTCACACAAATATTAATGTAAAATTCCTAAACTCTCTAACCTAATGAATCAGTTTGCCTCCTTTCTGAAAATAAATTTCATTGGTTTCTGTTACAAAGAGGCATACTATCATGATCAAAGAATACTACAATATTGTATTCTGGGATGCTTTAAAGTAGAGTGGAAATTTGAGGGAGATTCAAAAAAATATGATCTCATAAGACAACTCAATGAATAACCCCTACCCCTAACATACACCTAAGTATTCCAATCTTCCTTCTATTTGATAAATCTTCTGGAGTTTTACAAATACTCCATTTCCTTTAGACAGGAATCCAATCCTGCCCATAACTACAGGTAAAATATAGCCTGCTTACCGTTAGCACCTTTACCCTTTTCTTACTAATTATAAATCAACTTAGTCATCTTTTGACCTGTTCTGAAGAGCTTCAGAATGATTTTTAAAAAATCAACTTCAAGAGTCCCAGGCAGGATATGTCCATTACAATACATCATTTGCTAACACTTTTTTTCCATTGATTTACAACAATGGATCTAAAGTTAAATGTCTAATCACTTATGAAAAGTTTAATCACTTATAGAAAATTAAAAGAAAGTGACACTAAAGAGACTTAATTTACCACAGGATGTCCAAGTTATTAGTTACAAGGTTACCAATTTTTATACCCTTAGTTTAAAAAAATTTTTTTCAATTCAACTCAAAAACCGCTTCTTAAGAACCCATGAAACAGAGGCATTTTATTAGGTGCTACTAATGCAAATATAATTCTTGAAAAGTTTACAGGACCAACATCTCACACCATATACCCAAATAAGGTCAAAATGGGCATTTGATTTAGATGCAAAAGATAATATCATAAGCAAATTAGGGAAGCAAAGAACAGTTTACCTGTCAGAATTACGGATAAGAGAAGAATTTATGACCAAACAATAGAAAGAGAGCATTACGGGATATAAAAGGAATAATTTTGATTACATCAAATTAAGAAGGGGTTGCACAAACAAAACCAATGCACCCAAGATTAGAAGGAAAGCAGGAAACTAGGGGAATTTTTTTTTTTACAGCAAGTTTCTCTGATAAAAGCCTAATTTCCCAAAAATATGGAGAACTGAGTCAAATTCATAAGAACACAAATCATTCCCCAACTGATAAATGGTCAAAGGCTATGAATAGGCAATTTTCAGAACAAATTAAAACTATCTACAGTCATATGAAAAAATGCTCTAAATCACTACTGATTAGAGAAATGCAAATTAAAACAAGTCTGAGGTACCACCTCATACCTATTAGATTGGCTAAGATAACAGAAAAGGAAAGTGACAAATGTTGGAGCAGATATAGAAAAATATGGACACTCATGCCCCATTAGTGAAGTTGTAAACTTATCCAACCATTCTGAAGAGCAATTTGGAACAATGACCAAAGGGCTATAAAACTGTGCACACCCCTTGATCCAGCAATACTTCTACTAGGTCTACACTCAAAAAAAGATCAAAGAAAAAGGAAAAGTACAAAAATGTTTATAGCAACTCTTTTTGCTGTGGTAAAGAACTGGAAACTGAGGGGACTACCTATCAACTGGGAAATGGCTAAATAAGCTGTGATATATGATTGTGATGGAATACTATTGTGCTATCAGAAATGACAAGCAGGATGCTTTTAGAAAAACTTGGGAAGACTTACATGAACTGAGGCAAAGGAAAATGAGAAGAACCAGGAGACCACTGTACACAGTAACAGCAATATTGTATGATGATTAACTTAGTTATTTTCAGCAATACAATGATCCAAGACAATTCCAAAATACTCATGATGAAAAATGCTATCTGAGCCCAGAGAAAGAACTGATAGAGCCTGAATACAGATAGAAGCATATTTTTTTCACTTTCTTTATTATTCTTGGGTTTTTTAGTCTGTGTTTTCTTTTACAACATGGCCAATATGGAAATGTTTTATGTGACTCTACATGTATAATCTATATCAAATTGTCTCCTCCCTCCTGCTTGAGAAGACAAAGGAGGGAAAGAATATTGATCTCAAAATTTTTCTTAAAAATGAATGTTAAAAATTTTTGTTTACATGGAATGGAGAAAAAACAAAATTAAAAATAAATGTAAAAAAAGTTTAAACATTCTTAACTTCATTACTTCAAGATCTGATTTCAAATGGCAGTATTAATTTCATTGAAGTATACCCTATCACCTCCACATCCAAGTAACCTTTGCAATTTGCTAAGGCAAAACAACACAAAACAAAACAAAAAAACCACATGGTAGTCAACCAACTAGCAATAAATAACTGAACTTACTCAGGCTGGTTCATTATTATCTGGTTCTTCATATGATATTTACTTGAAGTCTTTGCAGCTTCATAGGACATGCCAGAGCTTAAGCACTGATTACACAGCCAGAAACCAAAGTCCTATGTCCGTACCATGATGAGGCATTGGAGGGTCTTATCAAAAGTAAACATTACACAGATAACTGCGATACAATGTAAGAGAGTGACATTCAAAAACCATTATTATATGCCATTACGTAATAACCATATATCTTAAATTAGAATACACCTTGAAAAGAACCTGGATTTTATAAAGCAATGTTCTCTGCAATAATTAGATGGAAGGCACCCTTCTAGGTAAAAAGAGGCCAACAGGGCCAAAGTCATTCAATGTCATACCAATTTCCCCTTTTCTAGCATATATTCCAACAGCTCCTATGTTTGTCTTTAAAGAAATAAACACAGACCCAAATAATTGAAGAGATATTAACTGCTTATGATTGGGCCATGCCAACATAATAGAAATGCCAGGACTACCTGTATTTATTTGGTGATAATTTACTTATTTAGATACCAAACATAACTATTTAAGTATTTACTTTACAGAGGTAGGAAAAAATAATCAAATTCATCTGGAAGAACACAACATCAAGAATCCCCAAGGGAAATAATGAAAAGGGGGACAAAGCAATATCAGATTTCTATATGTATCACAAAAGAAGTACTGGTTAAAAATAGTTGATCAGAGGAAGATGTTAGATTTACAATACAGAAAAGCAAAAGAACATATTAGCCTAGTGTTTGATAAACCAAAGACCCTAATTAGTGCAGTAAGGATTCACTCAACAAAAAATGTCAGAAAAACTAGAAAGCAGTTTGGTAGAAATTAGGTTTGAGTCAACATCAATCAAGATAAGCTCCAAATGTATCAATGACCAGGACATAAAAAGTCACACAATAAATACAGTAGAAAAGCAAGGAAGAAAATACCTTTCACAATTATGGGTAAAGTAAAGGGTACATGACCAAACAAGGGATAGAGCACATCAGTGAAGATAAAATGTGAGTCAGTAAACATTCATTAAGTGCCTACTATGTGCCAGGCACTGTGCTAAGCATTAGAAATACAAAAAGGGGCACAAAACAGTCCCTGTCTTCAAGAAGCTCACAATCTAATGAGACAACAAGCAAATACGTATAAACAATCAATAATCAGAAGAAAAAGGAAATAATTAAGAAGGGGAAGGCACAAGAATTAGGAGAGCTTGAAAAGAGATTCCTGCAGATGGGATTGCTATAGAAATGGACAATTCTATTTCTAGAGAAATGGACACTTTCAATTATATAAAACTAAAAGTTTTTGCACAAATGAAATTACTGAAGATAAAAATTATCAGGTTAACAATTAACTAGAAAAAATTTCTTACACCAAGCCTCTCTGATAAAGGTCTAATAACCATACACAAGAAATTTATTGAAACTCAGAATTTCAGAACTCTAATCAAGGCAATGACCAACCACAACTCAAGAGAATCAATAATGAAGCAAGTTATTTACCTTCAGACAGAGAAGTAATGGACTCAAAGTATAAAATGAAACCTTCAATTTGTTTGATGTGGTAAATACAGTTCCAGACTTGGGGTCAGCAAGACCTGAATTCAAATCCTGCCTCAGATACTTAATAGTTGTGAGACCCTGAAAAAGTCATTTAACATGTGTATGTCTCAGTCCTCATTTGTAAAATGAGAGAGTTAGACTTGATGGTCTCCAAGGTCCCTTTCAGCTCTAACTCTACAATCCTATGATTTCTTAAAAGAATTTTCTAAACAAAACAAAACAAAAACTGTTTTAATTGGAAGGAGATTAGAGAATGGGAAGACGCCATTAAAGCTTCAAGCTGAACTAAGACTTTTGGTTCACCTTTTATATGCTTCCTTGAATAAAGTCCTACTGCCTCTTCATCTATAATATAAAAATGAAGGTCAGAGAAGTT